CAAAGCGACTTACAATAAGTACATTCGACCAGGAAGACACAACCTTGAAGAAAACAGAATCATATAAGTACATCAGGTTTCATAGAGCCAAACATTTCAAGTGCTACTCAACTGGCTTTAGGTAATCCAGTCCTTTATTAGTATATAAGTGCTTCGTTAATAGTTCTATCGCTCGAAGTGGAGTCGAAAGAGATGAGTTTTCAGTTTGCGCCGGAAGATGTGCAAGCTATCTGCCGTCCTGATGTCAATGGGGAGCTCATTCCACCATTTAGGAGCCAGGATAGCAAACACACGTGTTTTCGCCGATGGGAACTTGGGTCCCCCTCGCAGCGAGGGCGCAACGAGTCGTTTGGCTGATGCAGAGCGTAGTGCACGCGCTGGGGTGTACGGTTTAACCATGTCCTGGATGTAGGAAGGGCCAGATCCACTTCGCAGCATGGTAAGCAAGTACCAGTGTCTTGAAGTGGATTCTAGCAGTTACCGGAAGCCAGTGAAGGGAGCGGAGGAGCGGAGTGGTGTGGGAGAATTTAGGAAGGTTGAAGACCAGACGAGCCGCTGCATTCTGGATGAGCTGCAGAGGTCGGATGGCACATGCAGGTAGACCAGCCAGGAGGGAGTTGCAGTAGTCTAGGCGTGAGATGACGAGAGCCTGGACCAGAACCTGAGTCGCTTTCTGAGTCAGCTGGGGACGTATCTTCCTGATGTTGTAAAGCGTGTATCTGCAGCAACGGGTTGTAGCAGCGATGTTTGCAGTGAAGGACAGGTTGTTATCTAGGGTCACACCCAGATTCCTTGCAGTCTGAGTCGGGGAAACAACTGAGGTGCCGATGTTGATTGTTAGGTCAAGAGTGGGAAAATCTTTTCCCGGGAGGAAGAGAAGCTCAGTCTTGTCAAGGTTGAGCTTGAGATGGTGAGCAGACATCCACTGAGAGATGTCAGCTAGACAAGCAGAGATGCGTGCAACGACCTGGGTCTCTGAGCGGGGAAAGGACAGAATTAATTGGGTGTCATCAGCGTAGCAGTGATAAGAAAAACCATGCGGGCAACAGCTTTCTACTCTCGGTCGCACTCTCCACGCGCGGTTGTTGCTCTCGTCCGTCCGTCCCCCCCCCCCCCGCCTCTAATGTATGCAGCTTTCAGGTTATTGCTGCTGGCCGAGCAATTAGTTTGTGCGAGAGTTTAATCAGTTTTCGGGCGAGCTGGCGTTGCTGAAACACGAAAAACTGGTTCCTAAAACAGCCCTTGACCTGGTGGAAATTCCAACCTCTGTGAAAATTCCGACACTTACTCGAGTTTAGTTTAGAATCAGGACCAAAGTATCTCTCTAAATCTTTTCCAGTTTTGTGTGGCCACCTTGTTTGTTTCGTATCACGTGTTGTAACTTTTTCTTGTAATATTAAAACTTCTGCTTGGAGACTTATTTGTTAAAAAAGGTTTCTCTTGACTTTCTTCCAAAATATTCCGGATGAGTCAAGTATTATATGATCACCCTGTGTCGGTCAGGAGTCACTTTGACCTCACAAAACGTGTTGTGAGGACATTTTGGACAGACATTGATGTAAACTGCGACTTGACTGTTTGGTGGAGGCATACAACCACAAGGCAGTCATTCTAGTTTGTCAAGTTTTGCTCACTTTTTGTTTTAAACTAAAAAACATTTCCTGATATGTGTTTCCATAGCTCCCTTAGTGCCGGTGTACGATAAAGACGGTGTGGCGCTGACACTGAGTTGTGAGAAGCAGTCAGACACCACCATGACGGTCATGCTAACAGCCTCCAACTCCACTGACTCAGACATCAGCAGCTTCACCCTGCAGGCTGCAGTGCCCAAGGTCTGTTTCACATCCCAGATAAATGATCTGTTCTCATTATTGCAGAGTGGTGCAGTGATGACGTCTTTTTGTAGGAATACCTGGAAAGTAGCAACACAAGGGCTTCCTTGACAAATGGCAATGGCATCTCTCCATTGGGTTTCAAGATATTGCAGAAAGTTTGATCTTTGGAAAACACTTTTATGATACTTACTTCAGTTAAGCAGGATAATCTCCACTTATTAACACCACTTTTATATATGTTTTGAAGCGTTATGCTACCACCAGGAGTAAATAGCTAAAGTTAGAATCGCTAAACACGAACTACATAGAGGTCGCATGACTTAAAGTCACCATCGCTAAGCTAAAGGTGGCTAATGTTGGGCTTGATGACATTTAGTAGTATCATTTACTCACTTGTTAGCAACCGCCATCTTTGGATCCGGAAGGGATCAAATGCTGACTCATCCCCTGGTTTTACGACTCATACCTGCACCACTCTATTTTAAAATGCTGTGTCATATAAACATATACGTTGTTGCTTGCATGTTGTAGGTTTTTAGTTCCTGTTATGTTCCCCCCCAACATGCCTGTGTTTTGGTGCTTTAAACTTCAAAGCAATCTGATCTTCCCCCTCTCCCTGCCTTCCAGAGTGTCAAGTTAAACATGAATGCTCCCAGCGGGGACTCTCTTCCTGCACGAGGCGCAGCTAAGGTGACCCAGATGGTCGTCCTCAACTACCAAAACAAGGTGGGTAGGACACACACATACACACACAAAATGGTGACTCATGTTTGTAAATAAGAGTCAGCTCATTCAGAAGTGTGATCAAGCTGTATCGATACAGATGTTCAGGATCGGAGATGTATCGACAGGTGTGTTAGTCTAAGCACAAATCCAATATCACGTTACCAACAACAAGTCACTCGCCGTCGCCGGTAGCTAGCCGATTTACATGTGAAAACAGCCCATGCGTTAATGCCCATAGAACTATACTGTTCAATATGCCAGAAATAAATTCAAGTTGTCCTAATGCATAATATATCAGCGCAGTAAGCCCTGAAATACCAGGATCACCTACTGCATTGGTCATATTTTAAAGTATGCAAGCCAGCATTTATGAGCAAGAGGGTCAAAGTTCAAAGTGTGCGGTTAACAAAAAAAGTATTTGATTTGGAATGTAGCATAGTAATGAATAGCTAATTTTACAGCTAACCTGGTACATTAAGGTATTGTAGCTTAGACGATTGTCGCATTAACTACTCTTTATAATTTAATAACTTTTAGTAAATACAAAAATCATGACTTATCCCTTTTTAAGTTATCGGGACGGATACCATTGTAATGGAACATATCTATTTGTCAACAATGGAGAAAATAATCTGAACATTAGATCACATCTTTACACCTTGTTTCCAAATGTTCACATAAGTCCCACAAACCTGTTGTTACATGTGGCAAGAACAACACATCTTAGCCAAGTGAAGGTGCCATTTAGCGGTCATTAATATTGTTACGGTACTTTTGTAGTAAACTACAGTGGGTGCAAAATCACAACAGCCAAAAACATTTCCATCAGGAGAAATCGTCGGCAGTTTAAAATAAAAAAACACAAATGTGCCAGAACACATGCAAATGAAAAAACATCTTCACCAACTTGACGAAACATGCACAGGGTTTACCTAAAGCGCTGCATAGACAAAAAGCTGCACGAAGATCAAAACAGAATGGAAACAGGGGGAGAAAGGGATTATATATTTATATTTCCAATGTTTTTGTAAATGCAGCGCGTTTCTCCTAATAGAAGCGTGTTTGCACCTGTCGGCCACGGGACTAATCAAACTGATAACTCCTTCCTCGTGCCGCAGGTGAACCTGAAGATGAAGATCCGCATCTCTTACAGCAGCCGAGGGTCGACCTTTCAGGACACGGTGCAGATCGACACCTTCCCCGGGCTCTGACAGCAGCCAATCAGGAAACAGGACTACAACAACACTCTCCGGATGAGTCAGCAGGAACCTTACAGACGGCTGGAGTTTTTAGAAAATGTTGCCGTCACACCCTCCACACTACCGTCTAAAGCTGCTGTTTCTAAGAATTCCTGATTTTGTTAGTGTTTTTACAGCTGAAGAAAGCCTAATAAGCCTGAACTCACCATATCTCCTAGAATCCACGTGCAAATGTGACCGATGGCATTATTTAATATGGCACAAGCTGTAGAATTTGCCCCTCTAATACAAAAATAGAATTTTTTTGCAAACAAAACTGTCCAGAAAAGATTTGTCATGTTTTTTTTGGTATTACTTCACTCCATAAATATGTCCGGTTCCTGTCAGTATGCAACACTAGATCTTCTGTCCTCACGTTTGAAGTGATTTTTCCTATGAAGTATTTGCCTTTACCATTTTAACTTTGTTGTACTAATGACACACCACTATCACGATGAAACGCTCTGATCCAGTACACTTTATTTGACTGGAAACGCAGGGATATCAATTAGAGATTGAAGTGTTTAGGATCGTAAACACAACCTTAGGTGTTGCAGATTTACCAATGCCTCATTCAGCTCGGAAAATCCACCTCATTAATTCCCCTGTGCCTTTCATCCCCTCAACAAACGAGGTTTTTTGTTTTCATGTACAAAGATAATGCAATTATATTTGGATTTTAGTGGCAAAGAAATGGTTTTAAATGTGAGGGTTGTCGTCCTCTAACATGTTTTTATCATTCCAACTCGAGCATGCTTTTCCTGACCAGTATCTCCTCGTCTGTTGTTTACAGAGGCTCCTGAGTTATTTTATTTTATGAAGACTGTGTACAGTGATAGAGGAATGGGCATGATACTGTCTACAAGATGTATATTTCAGATTTTAAGTATATTAGCACAATAAGAAGAGTTTTTGGAAAATCTTGAATCACCTCAGTAATTTGATTACTCATCTCATAATCATGGATCTCTAATTAAAAGAAAAACACTCTGGACGTCAACAACGGTGCTTTAAATGGATTTCAGTGTACCCGTTTCAGATCACTACCTTAACGTAGAAATGTAAAGAAAGACCAGGATGAGTATTCTTGTTTTCGCTGGTTGTTGAAATCTGTTTCTTGGCATTTTCTAATAAAAATCTGTTTTCAGTACCGGCAGCAGCGACTTGTCTTGGTGTAAGTGTATTCAGGACAACGATTGAATCAATTTCAGCATTTATTCACAAGCAAAAAGAACACAGTGTTTTCCAACTGTCTTTTGTACTGCATGGGTGCCGGCATCAACGGGTCAGATGTGGGTTTACAACAAAAAAAACATCTACAAAGGAATTAGAACGTCCTCTTTTTTCTTCTTCTTGCTGCTGTTGTGGTTGATTTTTCTTTTGTTTGTGTCGGCCCGAGAGCGTGGGATTTCAGATCTCTGCTGAAACATGGTTAGACGTTGACGGACACCTTAAGCGTTGGCACTGATGACAACAGCGACTCATGACAACGAGGGCAAGTGTGTGCAGGGCAAGTGGAGCGTCGAGCCGCCTCTTAGCGCCAACACAAGATGGAGCACGGAGCCTCCCTGGATCTTGTAGTCTGCGGCCGTCTTCTCATCATTCCTGGGAACAAGAGAGAGATGATTTAGAGAAATTAAATAAGAGCATCTCGCAGTGAAGAGTGGAGATAGACCCAATAGAGGCACTTACATCTGTTTACCACTGTAGATGAGTCTCTGTTGCTGCGGGGGGATCCCTTCCTTCTCTTCCACCCTTTCTTTAATTCGCTCCACCTTTTGATTACACAAAAACAACAAATTATACGGTGCCTTGAGAGTGAAGCAAATACAGGCCATGTATCTTATAGAGAGATTCATATTTCACCTTGTCTGTGGGCTCAATATCAATCTCTATTTCCTTTCCGGTGAGTGTCTGAAAGGTAATGCATCACATTAATACAAGCTTTGGTGCCTTAAGATGCACACAATAATCTGCAACATCATTTTTAATTCCACACATGGGAATTTCACAGGTGGCTACAAAAGAAAATGATCCGTTTTCAGTAATAGTTTCCACACGTTACACCAAAGAGAAACAATAAGGCATATTTAGATGGGGAGAACTGTAATAGCAAGGCTGCAATCAATGAATATTATATTTATCAATCCACCAGTTTTGTGACATCTCCAAACTTCTTATTTTGACTGACAAATGATGAAGGGAGTGGGTTGCATATTGCCTAATAGTTACCAAACATGTTTGAACCATTATTTTTCTATTAACTATAAGACCTAGGTTAGATTAAAAATTATTCCAGCCCTAGTAATAGCATAATCGTGTTTTTATCTGTACGTCCCAAACTCATCCTGTTGTCATCAGAAAATGAGGCGTCACAAATGTACGAAATAATTTGCTAACCTGTTCATGCTAGTGTATTTAAGTTAGCAAGCTATCAAATAACAGCTACTGAATGGTATTAACCCAAAGAGCAGCATGTTGCTAGATTAGCTAGTCGGTAGCTCTAGACAATATTGGGCCAATACAAGGCAAACATTAAAAAATTAAATAACACAGAATGAGAAACGTGATTATATAACATGACTGCCCCAAAAATAAACTAGCGGACCGGTCTTGATGTTAGCGGGCTAACAACAGCAGCTAGGAGCTAGCGAACAAGAGTACGCGTATATTTAAAAATAACACGGTCTTACCTTTACTTTAATCAGCATCTTGAATACTCAAAAGACTACTGATTTTAATGTTAAGAATTGTTTACCGACCAAAACTGTTAAAAAACCAGCGAATTATAACCTACTTGTCTGGCTAAATTGAATTTACTTCCTGTGTACCAAGCTAAACGTTCCGGACGTGATGGAGCCAGAGCCCAAGGAAAAGTGGTTCCGCATTGGTAAACAAAACAAAAATAGATTTGTAAATTACATATAGAAAGATGTATTTAGATATTACACATATGTTACAATATAACCTCCAAATAAATAATGCATTACAATACCAATTTTAATTAAGTAAAATAATGTTATCAGTTATATAAAAGTACACATAAAAGAATGTTATCGGTTAAATAAAAGTACACATATTAAATTGTTTGATAACTATTATAACATGTAAGTATATTGACTTGGAAGGTTGTTATGGCTGATTTTAGAAAATTGCCTTTAAGTAGTTTCATCTGAATTATTGCATTGTTTTAAAAAATACTGTTGTATGTAAAATAATCAGGTAATTGTTGACAAATAAATTAAGTAGAGTTAAAAAAAAAGAAGCAATTAGGCAGATAAATAAAAATGTACTTGAATAAGTGTTCTAGATATTATCCAAATGAAAACTCTACAATGAAATTGCAAGTATGTGAAATTACACCCCAGTATAAGTAGACAGAGGACCAAGTGCTGCCCTGCTCTCACACAGGTGTTGCTCGTTCAGCTAATTTGGCAGCTAGTCTACAAATGGTGTCACTTCCTGTGTGATCTAGATCAGAGGTTCTCAATTGTTTTTCAGCCAAGGACCCCTTACAAGATAGAGAATACACCAAGGACCCCCTCATTCTGATTTGTGATTTTGGGCTATATCAATAAAAATGTACTTGATTTGACTTGTATGTCCCTTGGAATAATCTGACGTAGCCTATTTTTTACACTTCTATAGTCTTAGTTATGTGAAAGAACAACACAAGAGAAATGTATTAGAAAGATATTGGATATGTATTAAAAAATATTTGCACCATCTCAACACAGAATACCCATAAAACAATCAATCAATGAGCTGCAAGTAAACACTGTACCGAAAGAAAAGAGCAAAGGGGAAAGCAAGAGAAAAGTGACAGGAAGGGCAGGGCAGAACACACACACACACACACACACACACACACACACACACACACAAACACACACAACACAAACACACACACACACACCACACACACACACCACACACACACACACACACACACACACAACACACACACACACACACACACACACACACACACCACACACACAAACACACACACACAGGGGTTAAAGTGGGCCGGAACGATCCAGAACAGCGTTCCGGCACCTTCGATTAATAAGTAAATAAATCTGATTGGCAGTTTCATACATAATAATAATGTCAAGCGAGTTCACAGGGCTGCCAACTCTCACACAATTGACATTTTTCACACGCTCTCAGCCACAAGTCCGTTTTCTCAAGCAGTGAAAAACAAATTCATAACTGATAATGTCATGGTGCGAAAAGAAGACACTTCTGCACATTGCAGTGAAAAACAAATTCATAACTGATAATGTCATGGTGAGAAAAGAAGACACTTCTGCACATTGCGCAACAGCAGCACCATGACCATCTGAATAGCGAGAAATATACACAAATGTGAGAGAGAGAGAGAGAGAGAGAGAGAGAGAGAGAGAGAGAGAGAGAGAGAGAGAGAGAGAGAGAAAACTGTCTGCTTAGTTGCAATACTGTAGCTTATGCAATTTAGGCCTAGAAATGGTTTATGTAACTTATGTGCCAGTGTGTCCATGGTTTTGAGTCTGTCTGTGTGTCGAGCGCAGCGCCGTCTGCTTTTTGCAGTACAGTAACTAAAGTAAGTTAGGACTAAGCATACCGGTAGTTTTCTGTGGACCTGTCTGTTTTTCATTTACTTCATTTGTAGCCGTAACCGGTCGTTTTAAAAATCTGTCCATCTTCGTAGTATGCTAGCCGTGTTATATATCTATGATGCTTGCAGCGGCGCTCTTTGACTGACGTAACAGTTATTGTTGTTTCCACGGTAACACGCTTGATTTTTAAATGTATCTATATGTTAGATTTGAACGTAATCTATGAAATATTTTAGATAAAAAAATATATATATTATTTGTTGAAAAAAAAAATAATTGAAAAAAAAATTATATCATGATAATTTAAATTAATGAATCTGAAAACTTTTCACGGACCCCCTGGCAGAGTGCCACGGACCCCCGGGGGGTCGCGGACCCCACTTTGAGAACCACTGATCTAGATCATTCAGTCATGGGGACTCAACTCTACCTAGGTGTGATAGTCTTGGCTCTTTTTGCATGGAGGATCCATCCGATGCTGGTGCCATTTGCAGCTCGTCACTTCCTCGGAAACTGCATGGCATCCCGGTTTAATGTTCTGCCCAGCGGAGAGGGCAGAGCCCTAGAGAGATAAGAGTTACGACACTCTTTGATGTCGCCGCCAGCCGGTCACGTGGTTTATGTATGCCGGGATAGTTCAAAACGCACTTCCGTTGCAATGCTTCTCTATGGCAAAAACAGCACAAACATGGTCAAAATAGTCATAGATTAAACCAACGCTGTTATTTTTTAAAGATTGCTTTCATATTTACATGATGTGGTTACACTTTGTATGGATTGGCACTATTTATAAGTTTCGTTATTTAACGATATTTTGAGGGGAAAGTGTGGTAGCACAAGCAGGCTATGTTGCTGTCACTGCCAGGGCAGTCACGTCCGTAGTATAGTTGCGCTGCGCTGCCATGTTCTTCTATGGGACAGACAGACAGCAGCGATTGCGTTATTGAATGGTAAATATATATATTAAAAAAACACACACCCAAGTACTTTTTCAGCTGTAATTGCATTATTGCATACTTTTTATTGACAGTTTTAACTAAAGTCTGATTCAACACTTGATTAGATTTCACATCATTCATCCACATCTGCAAAGTAACTAAAGGTATTACATAAATGTAGTGGAGTAAAAGTACACCATTTACCTCTGAACTGTAGAGGAGAAGAAGAACAAAGTAGCAAAACATTGAAATACTTAAATAAAGTACAAGTATCTCAAAACTTTACCCAAGTAGGCTATAGTACTTGAGTTTATGAATGTAGTTACTTTACACCAGATGCCATAAAGATAGAAAGACTAAGCCTTGCACAGAGGCATGACAATAGATTTTCAAAATGCTCAACAGTGCTGCCAAAATTATAAACTGACTGCTACACAATTAAAATAAATGCTTTTATATATTTCTATTAGATGTGACTCTTTAGCGTTTCTGTTATTATTAACACTGCTGCTTTAGTTGTTTTGACTGCTAAAATCCTGTTATTCCTCATTTTAAAGCCGATATTCCGTGGGGTCGGGGGGCTCGGGTCCTTGTCACCTTTTCCATACCTGATGAGTTTGCATCCCTGATAATACTTAGTAAGGAGGCCATAATATTCTCATGGCTGAAGTTAAGTTTCTCCAGCTCTCCCCAGGTTGGCAAAAAAATGCATCTCAAAATGCATCAGATTGATGCTTTAAAATATGGAATATTCAAAATGTTCTTCCGGGGGAGCATGCCCCCGGACCCCCCTAGAGGGATAATATCCTTCTCACCTTTTTCACCCCTGACCCGTTTTCATGCCTGTACTTAGATACGTTTTACATTTTTGGAGGGAAACGTTTGTGTTCATGTTAGCATGATCATGTTAAGACTATGAATATCATTTTACCACAACAGTGGATGAACAATTGATATATGTGTTTGAACAAGAACAACAGGAAGAACAAAGTAAAAGGGACGAACAAATGTGTGAACAAGTATTAAGAACAGTGTATGGAAAAAGTGATGTGATGTGGGATGTGTGTTAGAACAAAACAAAGTAAAATGAATGAGAAGGAGAACAAAGAGGGGAACAGAAAAAGATGAATTCAGCCAAAAAACACAATTTTGATTAATCTAAAGTGTAAAACAATCTTCAACACATACCAAATTAGTGCCCTTGGACAACAAAACATATGGTGGGGCAAAGAAACGATAAATTAAATTGAGAGACTAAAAATGATTACTATGATAAATATTAAAACTATTTACAAAACTATTTACAGAAGCTCCTGTTGAACCAGCAACAAAAACAGGTTTGTCAACAATAACGAGGCCACTTTGCCAGGGGGAGGTGATCCAGCGACGAGAAAATAAAGCAATTCATATTAGGTTCTGTTGAGACACTACAGAATATAAAACCTTCCAAGCCATGACCTCTGCCTGAAATCAGGACCACTCAGAGGAGAATGCAGCACATCAAACTGGAATCAGGAGTGTGAATAACACATTTTGACCAAAACAAATTGTTGCTTACCAATACAGTGACTGAACATTGGACACCAAAAAGTTTGACCTCATGTCGTCACGCAACACTGTTACTGCCCTAAGTCATTTCAAGATGGAGGAGTATGGTAAGGCCATCAGCTTCCTCCGGGACTCCATCCATCTGTTTCGGGGCCTGAAGATCGGTCCCAAGGGCAGCTGGAAACCAGTCCAGACAGGACTGGTGATGGCCACAACAACAATCCTGGAGGTCCAGCATGACCTGTTGAGACAAGGGCACAAATTTGTTCTCACAAGCCGCTTCACTCAAGACTGCCTGGAAAACACATTTTCGTCCATTCGTCTGAGGAACTCTGTCCCAACACCTGTAGAGTTCCAATATGCTCTGCGCGCTGTCACTGTGGGGGAAAAAATAAAAGTGCTAATTATTTTTTTTAAAGTGTTTATTTTGTTAAAAATAAACATTTTGGATGCATGACCATGTTTTAGGCTCATCCTTCATTCACTGCTGTAGAGTAGCCTATTCAGTAGGCTATTATTTGTTTAAGACTGAATAATACCTTTGAAGAACAATCATTAAACTAGTGTGTATATTACAATACAAAGGAATCTATCCTAGCATGCCATCAAGCATGAGTAGCGCTAGGCTAGTTGTACAGTACAGATGAGTTAACACGGAACAGTACAAAAAAAAACAAAGTACAAGTCAACATGTCACATAATGAAATGTTAGTATATCCCAAAATTCAATGAAATATTAAATTAAATATTTATCACAAACGCCACCTCATTTCTACTAGTGCTAGCAGTTAAGTCATATCATACAGAAAAAGCCGACTAAGGATGGCTGACACGGTCAGGTTCAGCGGATAAAAACCAAAATAACAATAAAAACACATAATCAATCTAAATCCTGCTTGTTAGTTACCCAGCATCATTGATATATAAACTGCTAGCGATTCATTACTGAAATCTTACCTTCAAAGCTGACGAAGTCGCGCTAGCTAACTAGCAGGCAATGCTAGCTAAATTGGTTGTAACAACCAAGATAAAATATAGATAATTACGCTGTGCATATACAAATGAAGACCAGTATAAGCATCATAAAGGGCCTCTGATACAATATAGACAGTTGACAATTCAAAAGAGTTCGATATTTCAGCAACTTACCTCTGGAACTAATCGACGCGACGTAATATAAGTGAATGAGGTTCAACGCCCAAATGACAATATTTTGAACTATTTCGATGTCCATACACCGGAAGTAGGCGCCGCCATTTTTTACAACGGAGGTCTATGGGAGTGTCGTAACTCTTATATCTCTAGGGCTCTGGGAGAGGGGAACGCTGAGTTTAACTACAAACTAGATGACTGCAATTTTAAAAGACTGGTAATGTAACTGCCATGTTTCACCAGAATATCTCTCAGCCTTATTAATGTCATAATGAGCTTTTTTTTAATTCTTCAGATGAAAGGGAAAAAGCTCCTCTACAAAAATGAGTTGACTTTCAGGCCCCAACCAAGGTCGAGTCCTGCATCTTATGTGTATCCCATCGAGTGTGTTTATCCAAGGTATGAGTTTCGTTCTTATTTCAATTCAAGTTTAAAGCTGATATATGGGATAAATGTTGTTAATATATTTCAGACCTAAGGGGTGGATTCCTCCTTTCCTGAACGCGGGGTCAGGTGTTGCCGAAGGCCGGGGAGGTCTGAAGTTCCACATGCTGCTCCTAAATGGTGAGGGCTCATGCTCCCAAAGGCAAAACACTCTAAAAACGCACACTAAGCAGTTTTTACTTTTCCCGTTACAGAAAGAATAACAGCGGTAGCGGAGACAAATGTCATCCCCCTGGGCTCCTTCATGCCAATATGGGCAACAGTGGCGCAGGAGTCCCATCAGCCATTGCTGCTGCTCATGGAGGAATGTGTGGCAGCCGCTACGCCTGAGCTGCAGGCTAACAGCAATGTGTACCCCATCATTACAAATAAGGGGTGAGATCCAGTCTCTGATTTATTTAATTGTTTTCTGGAGTTTAGTCCTTATCGCTTATCTGAATGTCTTCAGGTGTCTCTTGGACAGTGAGAAGGGAAACTCCATGTTTCTCCAGCGGTACCAGTCCTCTGCAATCACCCTCTACCTGCAGTCCTTCAAGTTTGGTCTCGATGAGGGTGTAAATGGAAAGTGCTCTAAAGAATATTTGGTTCCTAGCTAAAATGTATGTTTCATCTGCTCCTCAGGTGTACATTCACTGCAAACTGCTCGCATGGGATCCTGAAGTTCTAAGTGAAAGCAAGAAAGCTTGCCACTATGTAAAGGAAAATGAGAGGTAAGGGAAGAGTTTGATATGTTGGAAGTATGTGAACATGTTCTTGCCAGAAGTTTAATAGAATGAATGCAACTGATGCCATGTGCAACAAGTATGCACCATTAGCCAAGGCGGCTAGCTTATTTTAGTATAACATATCCAACTTGAAGTAGATTAATGCATGTACTTTGATCAGTATTGTGCTTTTATATATCTATAACAAATGATAATTGTAAAAATATTTAAGAATAACAATATATTATTTTTTAAAAGGAGTGGCACTCAAATGATTAGCCAACCTAATGAGATGGGCCTAAATAAAATAAAAAAGCCCTGAGCTTTTCTGTTCACTTTTTTCTGCACTGTAGATGGAAATGTATCTTTTGGTCCTTTTTAGCAAATGTTATTAACTTGACATTTATAATAAAATGTTAATAGAAACATACAACATATAATGGCTTTTTTCTGTGTATACACATATATTTATTTTTTTAAAGCCATGCTGATGTATTTGAGCCTTGACTGTTGTTGCTTCCTTAGATGGGAACTCCTGGATGACCCCATGCAGAGCTCCATTTGTGACTGCTGTTCTAGGACCTGCAACACCCGCTCAAAGAGAGGAGACGAATGGGGTATCGCTCTTATGCCAACTTGTATGCTTTTTGATCTAGTGTAGTCTTTTTCAATTTGAAGTTATATATATATTTTTTCCACCTCAGAATCCAACGGCTTCCGGCACACTTCTGTGTTAGGACCCCTGATCATAATGGATCAAGCGCAACAAAATACCCACAATGCATCAGATGTTTCCATTGCTGACCAAGATTAATGAGTATTTATTTATGGTATTTGTCTTGAAGTTTTGTTCAAAACTTGCCATAAGACTAACGTTGCTAAACATTTTCTCAACAGGAAGTCCAGTCTAGGATTGGGAAGACTGAACAGAGGGCCCAGTGGTGGACGACATCCATATGCAGATTAAAGTTGTCTATAATCTCTGTATAAATAAAACTGTTAACTCCTCAACTGTGTCCATCTGTCCTATCAGTAGAATTTTACTAATTATGTGTGACTTTTGTCATTGAAAGATACTGTCAAGTTCTGTCAATTATAATGTAACCTTTAAGTCCTCAGACAAATTGTAATACCCATATGAGTTGGAGTATAGCCCTGAATTTTTCTTTCACTTTCCATATGATATAAATTCTGACATTACATACACCACCAGATTCAAAAGCTATTAGTGATCTGTCTGGTATTACAACTATGGCAATTGTTTATGTTGAGCTTCATTTGAAAAGACAATTCTGATCTGAATTTATTTTCTAGGCACTAATGCCTGCAGTTGAATGTAGCATAGTTTACTTTCTGGCCATGAATATAAAATCAATAGGGATGGCCTGCATGGCACGTGTTTATGCAGTTAAAAGATTACATCATAGCACCAACTCTAATATTCAGATGTGTGTGGATATTTTCTCACTGAATAAAACTTAAATGAACTGAAACATTTCAGATATAAAAATATCACATTTGAATACAGGACATCTGATAAAGGAATACTACCTTCCCCCAAATGATTTGTTTAGAAATGACTCGCCTTTTAATTCTCAAAGAAAACTTTTTCTTGCATGACTTGACGTTGAACAAAGAATCCCAACGTATACATATATTAATGTTAATATATATAACAGCAAAACTAAATCAAAACCTCAGGAAGACATCCAATGCACTATCATCCTTAAAGTGTTTTAAATAAGAATTGAAGGTAGTCAGACAGGATAATAAATTGATTAACAAATGGTAATTTTGTGCTGCTGATGAAGCTGAATGAAAATGAATTGGGTGTAAGGACTAATGTGATTGGATGCTCCCCATGCTGTAATCAGTGTGCTGGCTGCTGCAGCTGGGCCTGCTGACAGGCACCAGGTGAAAGACGTCATGTTGATTGATGCCTCTCAGGAACAAGGTATAAGAACATGCACTGTGTCAGTAGCAAGCATGCAGTCATGATGGTTTCATTTTGTCAAGGTGCACTGCTTCTGAGCTTGGCAGCTGCCATGGCGGTATATGCAGGTAAGACTGGAAACAATTAAAGTCATGTTATTATCCTTGACTCAAATAGTTGAGTCTAAAGCTAATTTATTTGTGTTGCAGACATGAAAGTGGACTGTGGGCCAGATTTTGTGACGCTGATGTGGACAGAAAGCCGACCCCAGGCCGACACGTCGCTTCTCCGTCTGGGTAGCTGTTTCCCAACCAGCTTCTCAGCAGGAGAGGCCTACTTCTATGTGGATCTCACTGACTGTAACTTTAGGATACTGGTATGTGTGTATATATATTTTAAACCTGCAAGCTGTGAGTCTGCTATATTTCCTACAGCTCTCTCAGGGGCATCTTTGTCTCTCTAACAGGTCACCGGGGATGTGCTGCTGTACAGCAATGACCTGACCTACGTTGCTTCTGAGGATTCTTACAATTTGGCCTTCACTCACCCAGTTGTCTGTGCATATGAGAGGTTAGTGTTCATACCAACTACAACTTAAGGTGCTAAAGGGTGACCCTTCACTAACTATTCCAATGTGGCATTTCCATGGCCTGGGAAAGTTCAATTTGATAATAAGCTTCTCCCTCAAAGCCATCCACCATAGAAGTCCGTCACAAACTTGTTATCAGGTATAAAGCCTGAAGCTGCTACATAGACAATGAATGGGTTCAGTATTCTCAACAAAAAATCTACCCATTTACTGAGAACATTCCCCAATGTGCACTCTGTGTTGTCATTTTTCCCAATTCATTGTCAATTGAGTTGCTCTCATAGTTTTAAATGGACATCACACATTTAAGTATCAGGACTCTTGTTTTTAGCATTTTGGAGGAAGTAGTTAATGTCTACTTATTTTCGACTGTCTTTTATGACTTTGTATTGTCATACTGATATTCTGTACAAACTGTGAAGTCCACCGAGACAAATGTAACATTTGTGATATTTGACTGTATAGATAAACATTGATGTTGCCATAGGAGTAACATTTAATAATGAGCTTTAAGTAAATGTGAGTATACAGGCTCGCGCAAATACGTTTTCAGTTTCACATGGCAGCATTTTCTGTACACATTCTGCTTTATTTTGTGCAGACCCAAAGACTGGTATTCCAGCCAGCAGATCTATGACCCGGTGTTTAAAACCTACGGTCTAGGAGATCTGCAGTTTACCATTGGCCTTATGAATGGTGGGTAAACAACATGTGAAACTCTCTACAAACGGCAGCGCTCCCTGACTTTTGTAACTTAATGACTCTTTTCCTGTTGACTGCCCTAGACGACTTCTCAGGCCCCGCTGAATCTACAAGCTTTCCTCTGGGCTCCATCATCCCCATCATGGCTAGTGTGGTGCAGAAGACCCATCAGCCCTTGCTGCTGCTTCTTGAGGAATGTGTAGCAGCTACCACACCAGAGCTGTACCCTGAAAGCACCATGTACCCTATAATCTCCAATAAAGGGTACTCTAATGGCAATAAGCATTGACTTAAAAAATGTGTTTTGGTAATATGCTAATTAATTTTCTTTAACCCAACAGATGTCTTTTGGAAAGTGTGTCGTCACAATCAAAATTTGAACCTAGGCAAAAGTCATCGGAGATGCGCCTATCACTTCAGACCTTTAAGTTTGCTATGGGAGAAGAGGTAAATTGGCCTTCTAAATTGTACATTTTGGTTCAGATGCAAGGTTTGATTGTGGAAACTGAGATTAATTTATGACTCCTATATTTTCCCTCTACTCAACAGGTCTTTATCCACTGCAAACTTTTGGCTTGGGATCCCAATGGTCTTGACAGCACTAAGAAAGCCTGCCACTTTGTCAAAGGGCATGGGTAAAAATATTACTTATATATCAGAATTTGACTTGTAGGTTACTTTGTTTTACATGAGATGACTTATTCAGCTTTAGCCCAGTCTACTGAAGATACAGATGGATCCCATTCATAACTGTTCAAACTTCGTGGAGACTTTATTTGGAATAGAATAGTTTAATGTCATTATACATGTACAATGAGATAAATGCTTCTCCCTTTCTAGGGTGCCATCAAAACATCACAACAAAATACACGCAGCATACATAATAAGAAGAGTATGAGATGCATTTTAATTATCTTTTCATCCAATCTTCATGAACTCAGTTGGGAGTTGCTGGACAACTTGGCCCAGAGCAATCTTTGTGACTGCTGTGAATCGAAATGCAAGTCAAGGAGGCAGAGGAGTGTTGCGTCAGGTATGTACACAACTTCTGCTGTATTACACTTGATTTGTTGACTTGTACTAAAATATATATGTTTGCAGAGAAACATGGAATGGTACAAAAAGCAGTCATTGGGCCATTTACCATCACAGAAGTGAATTCCTAAAGGTAAGGGTTTCATATTTCAATATTCATGTATTCTGAACGGCTACTTTAAACTTTGTTCTCCCAACAGGAATGGATCCATTTCCCTGACTGGGTTCTTCAATCTGAATTCGGGTTTTATTGTTTCGTAAGCTTAGTGCGAGCCTGTCTCTTTGCATTTCAGATTGTATGTTGCTAATAAAATAATGTATCTGAACCACTTAATTGAAGTTCTCAAATTATTAAGTTTGACTTGCCTTTTGTGTGAAATGGTTTAAACTAAGCTGTTTTACTGAATCATGATGACCTAATTTCTGGCTAAAACAAAGATGCGCACATCTGGTTGCAATATGCAATAAATGGTTTGTTTTGGGAACATTTCCGGGTCTGTTTTCAAAGGTGTTTTTTTTTCCCTGTGATGTGTCAATATCCCAAAGATATTAATCACATTAAATGAATCTTGAAAGCAATTGGATTAT